CTCTACCACCCTCTACCACCACCACTTACATATCTTTCTACCTACTTTTTCTTGAATTCTATAGTGTTTCTCACCCTCTTTACCAAAGGGCTGGCACTAGAAGCTTTCTTTGGGCCCTTGCTGGCTTATTTAGCAGTTACAAGCACTAAAAACAATGGAATAATGCAAAATGTATCGCAATTACATGTGGAACCATCCACAGTGACTTGTAAACAATGGCACAGTGGCTGGTACACAGGGTGAGTGGCCCAATCAGGGAGCCATGCCGACACGTTTGGGACAAATAGTTCTAACCGAGTTTCAAGGTGTTATCCAAGCCAATTTTTTTGCACCAAAGAGAGGTGTTATCCGAATTTGTTGCTGTCTGATGGAGGTGTTAACCGCGGGTCCACTGTATATTGGCAACACTTCTGCAAGCAGCAGGACTCCATGTTGCTGTCAGGTGAGCATCCAACTCCAACTTCACGGTCTTATTTCTTGGTAAGTACTGGTCCTAAAAATTTTTTTTTAGTCTTATAACACACAGAAAATAAAATTGCCCTCTTTAATTTTTTTTTTTTTTTTCAAAATATTTGGAGCGCTGGCTGTGAAACTGTAGATCTTCATTTGGACAGTTTAAGGATTGATAAAGCTGCCATTAGAGGCACCAAGAATAAACATACAGGAACACACTAGCTAACCCCTAAACTGTGAACTTCTTTCACTTTCCTCTCTTTCCTCTTCCAAGTGCTGCTGCACTTCTACCTTGTACTACGGGGCACACAATAAAGTACAAATTTATAGACAAAATATGTAGTCTTGGAGATTGCTTGATACTGAGACCCATCACTAACCCCTTTACAAGGAACTTCTTTTGTACAATGGTACCTTGAGGTTCGGCCGTATTCTGTTCCAGGAGCTAGACCTAAAGTTGAAACAGCCTAAAGTAGAAGTAATATTTCCCATAAGAAATAATGTAAATCCAATTAATTTCTTCCAGACTCACAAAAATATTCACAAAAAAATACATTTGTTAAAGAAAAACTACAGTTTTACATACAGAAAGCAAATATAAATGCAGTAGGGCCCCGCTTTATGGCGTTTCGATTTACAGCTTTCTGCTAATACGGACATTTCAAATTATGACCAAAACTCACTATATGGCTCCCCCCACCTGTCTTTCCAATACGATCACAGTGGCACACCCAGTTTGTTCACATTCTCCCTGAGCGCATCTTATGTCTGGAAACTTTCCAAAATTTCAAATGTTCTAAGGTTATTGTATATTTTATATGTACTGTACTTGATAATTAAACTTGTGTACACCTATACCTAAATAAACTTACACACTGTGCTGGCATGCAGGTACACATTAAAATCACTAAGAGTCTCTCTACTCTTGATGCCATAATAATAATAATAATAATAATAATAATAATGTAATAATAATAATAATAATTTCTTGGGCGCATTAAATGTCGCATATTACGTTAATATAGACGTTTCCCTTAATCTATGATATTTTTTCAAAATTATATAAGAAACACATTATGTAACACACAAACATGATACATGCACCCACAGTATAAAAATTTATATAAATATGAGATGTTTACCAAACAGTTTGTAGGAGTGTCAGAAGAATTACATTTTCTCTAGTCCATCACCTATTACTAGGGATAACTGTAGAAAAATATTCCTTTCATATTCCTTCACTCTATAGCTATTCACCACCCTTGTGGGTCTTCTTTTTTATTATGATTATAATAATGATTTCATCATTCACTCTAAAAATGGTGTGTTGCATGAGAATAGGAGTGTTGCTGTTTATTATTCTGTACTAACTTGTACAACTTGTACACAATGTAAGAGTATTTGTTTTGTGATTTAATTACAGTGGACCCCCGGTTAACGATATTTTTTCATTCCAGAAGTATGTTCAGTGCCAGTACTGACCGAATTTGTTCCCATAAGGAATATTGTGAAGTAGGTTAGTCCATTTCAGATCCCCAAACATACACTTACAAACGCACTTACATAAATACAGTGGACCCCCACATACCGTTGGCATCACATAACGTTAAATCTGCATACCAATACATTTTATCACTAAAATTTTGCCTCGCATACCGCTAAAAAACCCGCTCAACACTATTTGTCCGAGACGCGTCTAATGTGCGGCCTGAGCCAGCCTCACATGTTCCGCCGGTGGCATTGTTTACAAGCCAGCCTCCGCGGTAACATCCAAGCATACAATCGGAACATTTCGTATTTGGTGATTTTATCTGCAAAATAAGTGACCATGGGCCCCAAGAAAGCTTCTAGTGCCAACCCTGTGGTAAAAAGGGTGAGAAATATTATCGAAATACTGTGGTACCATGGTCAACTGCTGATGCTGCTGCTGCTGCTGTAGCACTGTCAGCTGCTGCTGCTGCTGTACCACCATCAGCTGCTGCTGCTGCTGTAGTACCATCTGCTGCTGCTGTAGCATGGTCTGCTGCTGCTGTAGCACTGTCAGCTGGCCTGCTGCTGTCCCACCATCAGCTGCTGCTGCTGTACCACCATCAGCTGCTGCGGGCTGTGTTACCACCCTGCGACGTTGCTGCTGCTGACCACCTCAGCTGCTGCTGCATTTTACCCCATCGCTGCTCCCTGTCCCTGTAGGGGTACCACCCCCTGCTGCTGCTGTAGTACGTCTGCTGCTTGTAGCATCGTCTGCTGCTGCTGTACCCCCGTCAGTGCTTGCTGTGCTTGCTGCTGCTGTAGTACCGTCTTCCCTGCTACTGTACCACCCCGTCTGCTGCTGCTGTTTTAGCTCGTTCTGGCTGCTGCTTGTTAGCACTGTCAGCTGCTGCTGCTGTAGCCTGTACCACCGTCCAGCGTCTGCTTGCGGGCTGCTGTAGTTACCGTCGCGGGCTTCTTGTAGCTCGTCTTGCTGCTGCTGTTGCTCATCTGCTGCTGCTGTAGCACGTCAGCTGCTGCTGCTGCTGCTGTGGCACCGTTTTTTGGTGTGGCTTATTGAGAATACCAAGAAACAATTAAAACCCCAGAGGGTTAGCCACCCAGGATAACTCCAAAAAGTCAGTGTCATCGAAGACTGTCTAACTTATTTCCATTGGGGCCCTTTTAATCTTGTCTCCAGGATGCAACCCACAGCAGTCACTAACACCCAGGTGAACAGGGAAAAATGCCTGTAACTAGTGCTCATATTGGTGAATTTAAAGCCAGCAAAGGTTGGTTTGAGAGATTTTAAGAATTGTAGTGGCATACACAGTGTGATAAGGCCTGTTCTGGAAGAAAATGCCAAACAGGACCTACAGTATTTCAGGAGGAAAAGGCACTCCCAGGACACAGTGTCTCATCAGTCATTGCGCATCTTCAATAAAGGTAAGTGTCATTTATTCTTCATTTAGTAGAGTAGTACATGCACAGTTATATTTTGTGACTTTTTTGTGCTTACTCTACTATTTTGGGGGGGGCCTTTTTTGTTACCCTTTTTCCCCCCTTCTTTGTGTGTAGGAAAAAAATGGTTAAATTATATTTCATGTGGTAAAAAATTTTTTTCATACTTTTGGGTGTCTTGCACGGATTAATTTGATTTCCATTATTTCTTATGGGGAAAATTCATTCGCATAACGATAATTTCACATAACAATGAGCTCTCATGAACGGATTAATATCGTTATGCGGGGGTCCACTGTACACTTACATAATTGGTCGCATTGGGAGGTGATCGTTATGTGGGGGTCCACTGTATTATAATAAAAAAAATATAAGGTAAAAGTTTCACAAACTCTTACAAATGTACACGGATGAGCTAAAACTGGACACATATTAATACCGTTTATTTCGCCTGACCGAGTGATCGTCCACCACCCATTCAGTTTGTGTTTTTACGCTGTCTGAGCTCCGTGTATATCATTCTTTCTCGTTTGCTCTTCGTTACCTAATTGGCTCTCGTTGATGAGGGCATCTATGCATAGTTGTGATAAAAAGGAGAGTTGTAAGCCTCTTACTTTAAGTGCCAAGTTAGAAATGATTAAACTTAGTGAACAAGGTATGTCAATGACTGAGATAGCACGTAAGCTTGGTTTGGCTTGTCAAACAGTTAGTACAGTTGTGAACAATAAGGAGAAAGTGTTGCAGGAAGTTAAAAGTGCTACACCAGTGACCACTAAAGTTATAAGAAAACGTGATAACCTTATTACTGACATGGAAAAACTTTTAATGGTGTGGATTGATGATCAGACTAGTCACAATGTGCCTTTAAGCTGAGCCATTATCCAGTCCAAGGCCCTAAGTCTCTTCAATTCTATGAAGGTTGAGAGAGGGGAGGAAGCTGCTGAAGATAAATTCTCAGCTAGCAGAGGCTGGTTTAATAGGTTTAACCCTTTCAGGGTCCAAGGCCCAAATCTGGAGTCACGCACCAGTGTCCAAGAATTTTCAAAAAAAAATTTGTTATTTTTTCTTATGAAATCGTAGAGAATCTTTTTGTGAAGGTAATAAAACAAAAAGTACGAAATTTGGTGGAAAATTGACGAAATTATGCTCTCACGAATTTTGATGTGTCAGCGATATTTACGAATCGGCGATTTTGCCGACTTTGACTCCCATTTTAGGCCAATTACATTATTCCAATCAACCAAATTCTTAGCTATTTCACTAGTATTACTGCTATTCTATCGATTGAGCACAAGAAATCGCCAAGTCAACTGTTTCAACTACAAAATAAAGTGATCGGAAATTGTTAATTTGGCCAATTTAACACAAAGTTCAAAATATTCCAATTTCAAAATAGGGTCCAGAATGAACAATGTAGGCATTCCTGGCACTAAACTAACATTTCTTCTGTTCATTAGTTATGTTTTGAGGCTTTACAAATAAATTCCATTTTGATTTTTTATTCACATAATGAATTTTTATTCACACCAAAAAATAGAAGATTTACTCTTATGCAATACTGTAATAATAGTATAAATATCATCACCATATTTGTGAATGTATAACAGACCCACCAGCTGATGTGTATTAGATGTGTGAGGTCGTTTGTTTACTCTTGAATATCGGCAAAAATTTAACATTTCCGCTACTTTGAGCTCAGTTTCAAGCCATTTCCAATGCTAAAACCAATCAAAATCATCTCTATTTCTGTAATATGTCTTCCATTCTATCAAATGAGACCAAGAAATCGCAAATACAACTATAAAAAACATACGAAAAAACACTGCAAAGTTGCTGTTTTAATCGAAAAATCATGATTTCATTTTTTTTCTCTCATTATACACAGTGTGCTGGAGGATCTGTTTTATGTGGTGCACACATACCACATAGATGTATTCTCTCATATCTATGCCCAAATGTACCACTCACAGTTTATCAGAGTGAGCTGAGCTCATGGCGTAGATCTACGGTTTGGACCCTGAACATAAAGCCGTAGATCTACGGGACGGACCCTGAAAGGGTTGAGGAAAGAAGTCAACTTCACAACATCAGAGTGCAGGGTGAAGCTGCAAGTGCTGACAATTTAGCTGCAGAAAATTATCCACGTGAACTAGCCGAGATAATAGAATGTGGTGGATATACCAAGCAATAGATTTTTAATGTGGATGAGACTGCATTATTTTGGAAGAAGATGCCATCTAGGACACTTATTGCTAAGGAAGAGAAGTCAATGCCTGGCTTCAAAGCTGCAAAAGACAGGCTAACACTCTTGCTAGGAGCGAATGCAGTTGGTGACTGCAAGTTAAAACCAATGATGATTTATCGCTCAGAGAATCCTATGGCCCTAAAGAACTATGCAAAAGGCAGCCTCCCTGTTTATTATAAATCTAATTCGAAAGCTTGGATGACTGCCAATCTTTTCATAAGTTGGTATACCAACTATTTTAAACCTACAGTTGAGGCCTAAACAAAATAAATTAAAAACCTTTTGGAAAGGTTTCACAATTTTGGATGGTATTAAAAATATTAGAGATGCATGGAATGAAATTAAAGAAACTACTCTCAAAGGTGTTTGGAAGAATCTGATTCCTGAACTTATGGATGATTTTGAAGGTTTTGAGAATCCAGTGGAGGAAGTGTGTGTAAATGTTGTGGATATGGCAAGGGAATTAGAACTGGAAGTGGAGCCTGAGGATGTGGAAGAACTGCTTCTCTCTCATGTTGAGGCTCTGACAGACCAAGACCTTCTTCTGATTGAAGAGCAAAGAAAGAAATTTCATGAAGAAGAGATCCATCCTGATGATAGTCCTGTTACCATTAAATAAATGAAAACCCAGGATTTGGAAGAAGCTATCAACCATACAGAAATAGCAATGACAATTTTTGAGAAGATTGATCCAAATTTTGAATGAAGTTCAACAGTGAATGCATCCCTTTCCCATGATGTTACATGCTTGAACAACAGCCTTGAACAACCTTCAACATCAACAGCTAGCCTTCAACATCAACAGTTAGCCTTCAACATCAACAGCTAACCTTCAATAGCCTTCAACATCAACAGCTAACCTTCAACAGCCTTCAACATCAACAGCAACATACACCCCTTCAAAAGCTTCACAAAAGTCTCCAAAATGAATCAAATTAGTTGAAGAATTAGAGGATGATGATCTGCCATCTCATGATTTGATTCAATAACTACATTGCCACTCACCTCTCACACATTCATATTAAGTAATTAAAGGTAAGTAATAAATGTAGTGTGCGTGTATTTTTACTTTTCATTGTGTTTTTTAATGCCTAGTTCTATTGCTAATTTGCCCCTCAAGGAAGGTTCCTTGATGTTGGTGAGGGGCTCTTGATTTAGGGAATTGGATCTGTGCTCCAGTTCCCCGAATTAAGCCTGAATGCCTTCCACATCCCCCCCCAGGCGCTGTATAATCCTCCGGGTTTAGCGCTTCCCCCTTGATTATAATAATAATAATAATATTGCTAATTTAATATATGTCAGTGTAAATATGTTATCTAGCATTTATATGCATATACAAGAAAAAAAAGGATGTTCCACTTTACTGCAGTTTCCACTTTACGGCGGTAGCCTGGAATCTAACCAGCCGTATAAGTGGGGCCCTACTGTATATATAGTTCATAAATGACTAATAAAATAGAAAAGTAAACATTTAAATAAACATTTAGGATTCCATTTATGTACCTTTATTGAAGACACTTGCTGACATGAATAAAGGGAGGAGGAGAGAGGGAGGACTTATTGTTTGGAAGGGGAATCCCTGTCCATTAGGACTTCAGGTATCATAGCCCTCTCTGGGGTTACTTCCCTTCTTTGTCTTTTACTGCCACTACGACCAGCTTGAGAGTCACTAGACCCCTGTCTCACAAAAAACTGTCCAACGAGGTCTGTTTCTGACATCACTTCAACATTTGCCTAAAATGGGATATGGTTTTGTCACAGAACATGTTGCAGAGATGGCTTGTTTCAGCTTGCTCAGGGTTATATTTCTCAGGAAATGCTTGCACCCTATTCCTCATTGCACAAATCTCCTTAATCTCTGAAGAAGGCACCCCTTTCACTCCTTCTTCCTCCTCCTCTGAAGCAAGTTCCTCACTGTGGTCTGTTGCATTTCCAAATGAAGCTCTTGCAGCTCTTCAGTGGTTAGCTGTTCCATGTGGTATTTCAGGATTGTTTTTTGAAGCAGTTTGTGACAGAACCTACAAGGGGAAATAACCTGCTTGACATAGTTATGGCAAACAATGAATCCCTTGTTAATAATTTAGAAATTTCAGAGGAATTGGGTGCTAGCGACCACAAATCAATTACATTTAGCATTGAATGGAAGTACGATAGTAGCGATAACTCAGTAACAGTCCCAGATTTTTGCTTAGCAGATTACGATGGGCTTAGAGAACACTTATCATCTGTTGACTGGGGTAACGAAGAGAGCTATCAATATGACAGTTTTCTGAACACTATACGTGCTGCTCAAAGAGCGTTTATCCCATATAAAGAAATTAGATCAAATAGAAATGACCCAAAATGGATGAATAATAGGCTCAAATATCTACTAGGGCATAAGAAAGGAATTTATAGGCGTATCAAAAGAGGTGAGGGTCATCTTATGAATCAGTATATTGACATTAAGAGGGGCATTAAAAAGGGGATAAGTAAAGCTAAAAGGGACTATGAAATTAAAGTTGCTAGGGATTCTAAAACTAACCCAAAAAGTTTTTCCAGGTCTACAGAACAAAAGTTAGAGATAAGATAGGTCCCCTTAAAAATAACTATAGGCACCTTACTGACAAAGAGAATGAAATGTGCTTGATTTTAAATAATTATTTTCTCTCAGTTTTTACACAGGAAGACACTAACAATATTCCAGTAATTAATTTTTACAGTGGGCTAGAAGAAGATAAATTATGTAACATCACAGTCACTAGTGAGATGGTTGTGAAGCAGATAGACAGACTGAAGCAAAATACATGTAAGTCGCCGGGTCCTGATGAGGTTTTTTCAAGGGTTCTTAAGGAATGCAAAATGGAACTCTGTGAACCATTAACTAATATTTTTAATTTATCTCTTCAAACAGGTGTAGTGTCTGATATGTGGAAGATGGCTAATGTAATTCCTATTTTTAAAACAGGGGACAAGTCGTTACCGTCAAATTACCGCCCAATAAGCCTGACCTCAATTGTAGGCAAATTACCAGAGTCAATTATAGCTGAGATTATAAGAAGCCATCTCAATAAGCATAGCTTGATTAATGATACTCAGCATGGATTCACAAGAGGCCGGTCTTGTCTAACTAATTTATTAACTTTCTTCAGTAAAGCTTTTGAGGCTGTTGACCACAATAAAGAATTTGATATTATTTACTTAGATTTTAGTAAGGCTTTTGATAGAGTTCCACACCATAGACTATTAAAGAAAGTGGCAGCTCATGGCATTAGGGGAAAAGTGCTCTCGTGGATCGAGTCATGGCTCACTGACAGGAAGCAGAGAGTGTCCATAAATGGGGTTAAATCCGAGTGGGGATCTGTAACAAGTGGCGTTCCACATAAGAACATAAGAAAGGAGGAACACTGCAGGAGGCCTGCTGGCCCATACTAGGCAGGTCCTTTACAATTCATCCCACTAACAAAACATTTGCCCAACCCAATTTTCAATGCCACCCAAGAAATAACCTCTGATGTGAAAGTCCCACTCAAATTCAACCCCTCCCACTCATGTACTTATCCAACCTAGATTTGAAACTACCCAAAGTCCCAGCCTCAATAACCCAACTAGGTAGACTGTTCCACTCATCAACTACCCTATTTCCAAACCAATACTTTCCTATGTCCTTTCTAAATCTAAACTTATCAAATTTAAATCCATTACTGCGGGTTCTCTCTTGGAGAGACATCCTCAAGACCTTATTAATATCCCCTTTATTAATACCTATCTTCCACTTATACACTTCGATCAGGTCTCCCCTCATTCTTCGTTTAACAGGGATCAGTCTTGGGCCCGTTGTTGTTTATAATATATATCAATGATCTTAATGAGGGAATTACTAGTGATATGAGCAAATTCGCCAATGACACAAAGGTAGGTAGGATAATTGATTCAAACGTAGATGTTATGGAACTTCAGGAGGATTTAAACAAACTCTATTCTTGGTCAGAAAAGTGGCAGATGCAGTTCAATGTAGATAATTGCAAGGTTCTGAAGCTTGGGAGTGCCCATAACCCTAGTACTTATAAGTTAAATGATGTAGAACTTAGCCATACAGATTGCAAAAAGGACTTGGGGGTTATGGTGAGCAGCAACCTTAAACCAAGACAGCAATGCTTAAGCGTACATAATAAGGCAAATAGATTACTGGGATTTATATCAAGAAGTGTAAGCAACAGAAGTCCAGAGGTCATACTGCAGCTTTATACATCATTAGTAAAGCCTCACCTAGATAATGCAGCTCAGTTCTGGTCTCCGTATTACAAAATGGACATAAATTCATTAGAAAACATTCAGCGTAGGATGACTAAATTAATACATAGCATTAGAAATCTTCCTTATGAAGAAAGATTGAAGACTCTTAAGTTACATTCACTTGTTAGACGAAGAATGAGGGGAGACCTGATCGAAGTGTATAAGTGGAAGATAGGTATTAATAAAGGGGATATTAATAAGGTCTTGAGGATGTCTCTCCAAGAGAGAACCCGCAGTAATTGATTTAAATTAGATAAGTTTAGATTTAGAAAGGACATAGGAAAGTATTGGTTTGGAAATAGGGTAGTTGATGAGTGGAACGGTCTGCCTAGTTGGGTTATTGAGGCTGGGTCTTTGGGTAGTTTCGAATCTGGGTTGGATTTGAGTGGGACTTTCGCATCAGAGCTTATTTCTTGGGTGGCATTGAAAATTGGGTTGGGCAAATGTTTTGTTAGTGGGATGAATTGTAGGGGACCTGCCTAGTGTGGGCCAACAGGCCTCCTGCAGTGTTCCTCCTTTCTTATGTTCTTATGTTCTATGTGGTCCTCCACCAACTCTTCCATATACTTACCACTCACCACCAACCCCATGGGCTTGCCCAATGCCACAATACCTTCCACAACACGCAAAGGGTCGGCAGGGTAAGGGTCAGCCTCAAATCCTTCAAAATCCCTCTCTTGGACACAGTGTGGCCAGTTTTCTCTAAGCAGAGTTCAAAGTCCTGGAAGTCACTCCCTCCCAAGCCTTACCTATAAGGCTTATGCAGTTGTAGATACAGTGGACCCCAGGATAACATAATTAATCCATTCCAGAGAAAGTGACTTATCCCAAAACTGACTTACTCTGAAATAATTTTCCCCCACAAGAAATAATGGAAAACCAATTAATCCATTCTAGACACCCAAAAGTATTAAAATAGTTTTTTTACATGAAATACAGTAGACCGTCAGTTAACAAGGTAGCTATGCTCTTGAAAATGCCGTGTAAGACAAAACAGTGTTAGACAGACTGAAGAACTTATGGGAAAAATAGGGTTACATTCCAGGGAGCCCACAAAAAGCCAAACAACTTTTTTTTAGACGTCCAGATCTTACAAAAATAAAAGGAATATGTAATTGCAATTCATTGTCGTGACGTGTTGTTTTTACTGCAATGGAAATAATAGTATTTCTAACCTTAAATTGTGGGTGCTGGTGTTTGTGGATGATTGTGAAGAGAGTGGAGAGTTATGCTGTGGCCCTACTGGGCTGAGGTGGATGGTAGAGGTTCTGGTACTGAAGCTGATGGTTGTACTGGCATGTACATGATTTCTGTTCTATTTTACCCTGCAGTACATTATACAACTGATGGTAAGGCATCAACTGCACTAGACACAGTTTCAGGGTCCTTTTCAGTGAAAAAGTCTAAATTTAAGTCATTCATTAAGCCAAGTTAAGCCAGATAATAAAACAGCCAAGTCAGTCAGTCAATTCAGTCAAGTCAATCAGGTCAGTAAATCAGTCAAAACAGTCTGTCAGGTTGGTAAATCAGTCAAGTCAATAAGTCAAGTCAGTAAATCAGTCAGGTCAGTAAATAAGTCAAGTCATTCAGTCAGTAAGTCAGTCAAATCAGTCATTCAAGTCAGTCAGTCAAGTCAGTCAGTAGGTCAGTCAGTCAAGTTAGCCAGTCAGCTAATTCCTAGACTTGATTGCTTAACCCTTTCAGAGTTGGTGCCATACTAGTACGGCTTGCACACCAGGGTTGGTGCCATACTAGTACGG